AGCTGTTATGGTCATTGGATTACCTGATGAAGGTGTATTCGATTATGTTGATTATTTCCTTAAACAAAATCTCTATAAATACATCGAACTCTCTGAGAGGACCATGTTCGATTGGTAGGAAGAAGAGGAGGAGGACCAGGGTGTATTGTAAGAGCTTTTTTCAGGTTGCGGAAGTCGGGTTTGAAGACTCTTCGTAAATCTGCAAGCGCGTCGAACGACCGTCCAGGCCACCAGTATGGTGTGAAGCCGTTGGACGTACATACGGGCATGCTCAGGCAGCTACGGAGGTTTCTGGAGAGTGCACACCATCAACGATCTGTTGTAAGGAGAAGGAGGGCTAAGGTTGGACCAGGTCCATCCAACACTGTTGTGATCTGTGCGGAGAAAGATGCACTTGGTCAACGTGCACGTGGTGACAGTAGAATAAAATATGGGGGAATTTTGAAGAATTATTGTTGGTTTTTTCGCGTGAAAAGAAACTTCCGAGTTCAGAATACTCGTGGATGCTGTGATGGTCTCAGGTGCACGTGGAAATCGAGAAGGGATTATCAGAGGCGGAGCGAAGGAAACTTATGGGCGATTATATGATGAAGAAACGTGAGTCGAATGGCTGTTGTGACATAGGGAGTAAGTGGCTGTGGTTAGGTACTGCTATAGTGTGTGTTGGTCATCCTGATGCGGGCTATCTGGGGTATGTGAGGGGACTGGTGGGAACTGAGTTGGAGAGGAGGAAGATGAGTAAGGCCCGAGGTGAATGGAAGAAGAAGATGCTGGAGTACACCAAGAGGAAGGAGGAGAGAGAGGCTCAGAAGAAACGTAGTAAAGTCTCTGTCCGTTGTGGTTAATGTTTACTTGGTTTAGGTGAGTCGTTGATGGAAGCAGCTGCTAAGGCTAGGAAGGATGCGGCGGAGGAGGCACGTCAGAAGAGACAGGAGGCGGCGGCAAGGGCGGCTGCAGCGAAGAAGGCGGCTGAGGCGCGCACTTCGGGTGGAGGAGGAGCAGGGATGGGAGATGCGCAGGGACCGGTAGGTTTTGTGAATCTTCGCTGTGCGGTTCAACGTGTGGTATCGGAGTTTCACGACCGTGATATGAAAAACACTAGTGGAAAAACATATTTCATCACTGCATACCGCAAATATCGCGTTTTTCACCGAGTTTTACGCCACTTCGCGAAAATCGGGTCGGTTATGTTGTGGAGCAGGTGGGAAGTGGTCAGAGTCCTAGTGGGATGGAGAATGGTATGACTGGTGTGGCTGAGGAGGAGAGGGAGAAGGGAGAAGAGGAGGAGACTGAACCACAGATGCCGGAGGTAGAGGTCACTTCGGAAGAGATAACAGCGAAAATGTGAGATGCAGGGTGTGGGATTCGAACCGACGACCTTGAGGTTATCAGTGAATCGTCTCAGGGCTGGAGGAGGACGGTTCCGGAAGATGCCTCTGCCGGACCTGACGAAGGATGCCGTCACTACAGCGTACTTGCGTTTTTCACTCCCGACTGTGGACGAAGAGCTGAAGCCGGGCGTACCTGTCTTTGATGAAGTGCGCTTCGTGTGGGATGAGGAAGAGGAGGCTAGAAGGTGAGGGGAGGCGTTTTATGGTCGTTTAGGATTAGTGAGTGGACGATGGAGGTATATCTAGTACTTGAGTAATGTGCGTTATAGCGATGCTGTAGTCAGTGTTCTCTCTCCATAGCTGAGCTCAGGAATTTGGTCATCAATTACATGTAAATTCGGGTAGAAGTGTACAGGTATGAAAAAGAATTCCCACAAGTCCCCTCAGAAAATTGATACCATCACCAACACATGTATTTGGCTATAT